CATGCGAAACGCGATGCCATAGGTATCGAAGAAGGCGCGGGCGGCATGGCTGTCGAACTCTCGTCCGTTGTCAGCTTGTAGAGTAAGGATCGGCAGGTTGAAGTGTGTCTGAACTAGCGCACGAAAACGTTGGATAGCAGCAAAGGCATCTGATTTGTAGCGCAAGGGAAATGTCCAAGAGAAGTGGCTGTAGTCATCGAGAAGCAACAAGTAATAACGGAAACCTGATGCACTTAAGATAGGTGATGTCCAGACATCACAATGTACAAGTTGAAATGGAAAATAGGAAACATGATGTGAATCTGGAAAGGGAAATCTAACATTTTTTCCTAATTGACATGCATGACAAGTACGAGCTGGTGCATCATGAGCGCCAGGGGCGATGGATCGAAGCGCCCGAGCAAGCGTGGTGCGTCCTGGGTGGCGAGTCGCCGGTGCCAGACATCGGCAGAGATGGAGGCGTGGGCGTGGAGGCTGCAGTGGAGCGGGGGCACGCTGACGCGGTACAGGTCGCCGGTGGAGTTACATCGGAGGATTACCCTCCGGGTTCGTCGGTCCTTGATAGAAAAACCGAAATCGTCAAACTCGACATTAACAGGATTATCACGACAGAGAGTTTTAACAGATATGAGGTTTTTGATTAGTGAGGGAGAGACAAGAACGTTGTGTAAGTGGATGGGTGTGGTAGATGTTGGTATTGCGAGGTGGCCGGAGTGCAGGGCTGGCAGCGTGTTGCCGTTGCCAAAAACTATACGGGAAGAAGAGGGACTGAGATCGGAGAGCATACCTGACGAGGACGACATGTGCGACGTGGCGCCGGTGTCGAGGTACCACTCACTCGATGGCGGCGGCGGCGCCTGCTGCTGTTGGAGCGACAGGTTGTTGAGGGCCTGAACCAACGCTGATTGGTCCCAGGCCGCACCTTGGTAGGTGGGTGCAGCCGGGGGCGGTGGCGGCGGCGCGTAGTGGGCGGCGTGTCCGGCGAACGGTGATGGAGCGCCAGGGCGCGGGCCGAGGACGCCAGCTCCGGGAGCGTGAGCACGCCACGGCATGGGCCAGGCGTGAACCATGCCCGTCCATGGGTTCGTGGCGGGTGCAGGAAGCTGGACGAGGCGCCCTGCTGGCAGGCCGCCAGTTGACGATGAGCCGCTGGATGAGCCGTCGGCGTAGCCGGACGACTGGACCGCCTTGCCCTTGCCCTTGTTCCGGTTCCGGTTGCCGTTGCGAGTGGAGTTGGTTGGGGGCGCCGGCGCCGGCGCCGGTGCAGCAGCAGCGGGTGCACGGCCAGCATGCAGAGCCATGTCAGTTGGCGCGGGCGACGCCATGTTCAGGCGCGATTCCTCCAGGATCAGGAACGCGCGGCAGCGCAGAAACGATGGGAAGGGGACCTGCATCGTGAGGATCGGGATGGCGTAGAAGTACCGTGGGTTGAGGCCACGGAACATGTTCATCACCTGCGCCTTGTCGTCAACGGGGAAGCCGAGGTCAGCCAGCTGATCGGCGTACTCCTTGAGCCGGGCGAAGTAGCGCAGCATGGTCATGTCGGCGACGGAAGTCGGTGCCGATGAACACCGCCTGGGTCTCCGCATTGTCGAGGAAGAGCGTCGCGATGGCGCTCCAAATGTGCGCCGCAGTGGGGTGGCGCTGGTGGACGAGGGAGAGGATCTCCGGCGACACGCGGTTCAGCAGCCATGAAGTGATGAACGCGTCGTCCTGCACCCACTGCGCGTCGGTGGGACGCGGCGCGCCGAGGATGTGATCCAGAACACCGAATTTGGCAAAGGCCAACTCGAACATGGTGCGCCACGGCGAGTAGTTCGACGGGTTGAGGCTGAGCACGACCGGCACATGCTGGTTGATGTAGACGGCGCTGAGTGGCGATGGAGCAGGGATGGGAGCAGCCGAGGCAGTCGCGAAGGGGAAGACAGGCGCAGGGGGGATGAAGAGCGCGGTCGAGGCCGGCACTGGTGGCGCCGGTGCCGTAGGAGGTGCAGGAGGCGCGGCAGATACGGGGGCAGCAGGGGCGATGCTGACGCCGGGAGCGGCACCCGCGGTAGGTGCGCCGGCCTGGTCAAAGGCTCCGGCGAGGTCACGAACATAGCCTGGGGGAGGAGTGGCCATCGTGCTCACCAGAGCGGGGCAGCGGAAGAACTGGAGAGGCTCAGGAACGACGAGCGTCTGATACCATGAAGACAGATTGAGCAATGCACACTGTCGTGCTTGACATCGTATTGATCAGCTTATATAGTTTTACATGTACAATCGTGCACACCGTAGTGGCAGAGACTCGTGCGAGCAGTTGAGCATGCAGTGGTGGCAGAACGTGGGAACGTGAGAGAGAGGACGTGGGTGACCAGGTCAGGAGGCATGCGTCAACAATAAATAACCATCACACTCCAATCGTGAACTTTTCATGTCATATCCCAACAAAATCCAGACGAACCTGGCCTCCTCCCAGGAAGGAAAAGTATAATAACCAGAGCAGCGGGCCTTTGATGCAAAGCAATCGACCGGTAATTTCGCTCGCCACCCTAATGAGTAATGACGTCCACAGGTGCACGTACCGGAGCAGGGGAAGAACAACAGCAAGAAAAGCTTGCTCGCTGGAGAGGAGGAACCGGCCAGGGAAACTTCATGCTACCACTATGCACAATTTCGCCCTGGATCCCGTCAAGATTGTTCGATCGCGACATAGTATTTCACATCCACCGTTTGTGTCCACCTATCTCACCAAAAGCAGTGGACGCGACGACGCTTCTTTACACGAGGAGAGGGGCGTTGAACAACCGTGGATGCACACTACACCTGTACGCCAATATCTGGGTGCTGCCAGGATAAAAAATCTGGGTGCTACCATGATCGAGGAGTAGAAAGGGTCGTCCGACGGCGACGCTGGCATAGTCAAATGTGCGTTGCAACGTCCCCATTTGGCCACGGCGTGCACGCCGTGATCATACTCATAATACTCTACCGCTAGTGCAACTACCCTTCATGCCATTGGGCGACGAACCTGGCCGCCTCTCGCACCAAAACCAGAAGGCTCACGAAAGCAAAGCAACGGCCTTTATTATTGCCAACACTCGACCGGTAATCTCGTCACCCCGGTGACGTAGGGCGATTAGCGAGGCAGCAAACGGAAGAGGTGCATGAACCGGGGCAGGAGGTGGGGGAGGACGGAAGCAAGACGAAGAATGGGATGAGAGGGACGGCGGCGAGGGGACGCACATGGACCTGCCTACTCACCCGAACGGAAAGGAGGAGGAGCCGGTAGCTACAAGGCTGGGCCAAACTTCATGCTGGTACTACTTGGCAACGTCGGACGGCAAAGACCTTCAGGGGCTGCCTGTTGATCTGGCACATTTCTTTTTCTTTTCCAGAAAACCCAGATTTGTTAGCACGAAGCGTCAAGAACATAATTGAAATTATATCGAGGCCTTTGTATTACCAAACAACACCGTCGCTGCCAAAGTGAGCCGTCGACGCGCCATTGTTGCCGCTTCCGTACTAGGTCTTCATGCCCATGCTCTTAAGGACCAACACCCCGGAGCCATAGTCACCACCGTTGAACCATTGAATCAAATCGAGCCGAAGAACCTGCCATCAAATATCGTCGTCACATATGCACAACAAAAAAAATTAACCAGTCCAGGGAGCTGACAGGAATAGGGAGCTGACAGGAATCTATATCGGGTCTCTATCTAATCCGACCCAACAAACAAACTTAAGGAGGATCGAAGTCCGAAATACAAAAATGAATGTAAGTATTGCTCTTATAAGGACTAAAACTCTGTCGAAGCGTTGCCCTTATAAGGACTAAAACTCTTAAGCTATCCTATCTAGTAGCCGAAGCCGAGGAACCAGGATTCGGAGATGCAAATACACGGTCCTGCTGATGAAGATCAAGAAGCGAAACAGGTGATCTTAGCACAATTTTACGTACACCAGAACCTGTTTGAGAACATTTGGAAAAGAATTTCACAGTTCCCCAAGCATACAGCATATACCGGATGTTGTTTCAATCAGCAATACGATTCAGCAAAATTCAGAGCCAAAAATATATTTCATGCAGTTGTCAAGGGTGGCTGCGAGATGTTCATCTCAGTGGTGGCATCAAGCACAGCAGCTCCGGCCATATCACAGACATTTAGACACAGTACAAGGAAGTAGCAATTCATAAAATCACAAGGTTGCAGGTAAGTAAAAGCATAGAAATTGGACGGAAACAAATTTTATTTATCCCAGGATGATTGCAAAGGTTACAGCACTCAACCACACGCCTGCAAAAACCGGGGATCTGGAGACAAAAAACAACCACACAAGGTTGTCATGGCAAGGGCCCTTTGATATGTTGCACCTTGCCAAGGCCAGATCCCCGGGGACATCAGGCAACCCCTACAGATGCTGCAGAAAAGCGACCATCCACCGCCGACGACACACACGCACAGCACACACACACTACAGACCATGAAGAGACTGGAACTGGAACAACCACACACTGAAAGAGATCGTAGCAGACACCTAGACACGGATCGAAGAACCGGAGTCAAGCTTCTACAACAGGCACACACCGACAAATCCGACAAATAGAACTTGCTATGGAATTGAAACCAGAAGTATTGATGTCCCACAAACTCTGGAACCAGATTGTACTGGAAAAGAAGACACAACTGACAATATTTGAGCTCCCACACAGGACTTGATAAGGAGAGAAAAAAAGAAGCATGGTGTAGGGACTGTAATCACAAGGGCATAGGTTGGGGGTAGAGGGACAGGGTGCCACGCAAATGGCAGCCGAAGGCTCAAGGAACAGGCAACCTCGCGAGAGGAGGCCTGCAAAAAACGAGCGCTTGGCTAAAGCGTCCCCCGGAAAACAACCGACCCTAAGACAAAGGAAGCCCACCATGACTCAAACGCGCAACCGACGAACCGGACCGACTCTGCTATGAGGCTTGACTGAAGAAGTACTACCTACGGTCGTATATTTGCATCTGGAGATCCTCTTAAGCAAGGATGTCGCACCACCAGAGCTGCTTCTCCAGTGATGCAATGTTGTGGTTGCCGATGAAGTTGAACTGGAGATTGAGGCCCTCCAATGACGCAGGCATGCTTCCCAGGAAGGGCACACTCTTGGGTGTGACCTTGAGACAGCCAGACAGTGAGAGGACACGGAGCTTGAGCCGCTCCGCGGATGACAACACCGCAACACCATAGTCGCTGACCATGCAGTTTGAAAGATCAAGCTCGGCGAGCTCAGAGCAGCTCTCGGAAATGGCAAACAGACTCGCATCAGTTATCTTGCTGCAGCCCTCAAGGCTCAGATGTGCAAGAGAAGTGCCGTGCGCCTTCACCAGGGCAGAAATAGCTGCATCTGTGAGATTCTCGCAACCATTCAAGTCAACATGAATCAGACCACTTTCAGAACTCCTGATCAAGGGAAGGAGGCCATCGTCGGTGACTGCGCCAAGACCGCTCAGGTCAAGATTCTCCAAATGAGGGCAGATCATGCCAACCACAGCCAAGCTCGCATCGGTGAATCCCGGGCACTGCTTGATGGTAAGGGACCGAAGTGATTTGCAAACAGGGAGCTGTGCAGGTGCAGAGCAGATGTCCTTGATACCAGTACACTTCACCAAAGAGAGAGTCTTGAACTTGGGGCTGCAGTTCAGGAGGAAAGAAAGGATGCCCATGAGAGTAATCCTGTTGCATTCCTCAATCTGCAAGTTCTCCAAAACCTTGGCTGCTTCTGCGAAATCCTTGAGAAGACCATCTGAGATTTGGCTGCACTTCCTGAGGTAAAGCTGCTTCAAGCTCGGGCAGAACTTGGCAATGGAAACAAGTGCCAGCTCGGTGACTCCTGGGCATGAGGTGATGCTCATACATCTGAGCTTCTGCAGGCCAAGGGCATTTGCCATGACCCAAAAACCCCTCTCGCCAACCGCGGACAGGCGAGTGAGGGTGAGGTTTGTGATCGCCTTTCCATAGTACCCAATCACAGCAAGAGAAGCATCAGTGATGCTCAAACCCTGAAGGCAGACCTTGGCAAGCGAGGCTGACGCGGAACAGATGAGGCCAGACACTCCCTGGTCACCAACATATGCACAGTTCTTGATGTTCACCGCCTGCAGCTTGGAGCAGGACCTTCCGATAGCCTTGAGGCCCTCATTGGCAACGCCAGAGCATGCCTCGATGGTCAGCGTCTTCAAATCCGGGCATCCCTGAGCGATGGCGACGAGGCCCTTGTCGGTGACCAGCGGGCAGCCGGTGATGTCGAGCTTCTCTAGCGAGGGGCACCCGGCGGCGATCTCGGCGAGCCCCGCGTCCGTCACCTGCGGCACGTCCCACATGGCGAGCGAGCGCAGCGACGGGCACCCGCGGGCGACCGCGGAGAGGCCGCTGTCGGTGACGCCGCGCGTGGGGTGGCTCCCCCGGACAACGACGCTCTCCAGGCTGCCGCGGAGGCCGTCGGCGACGGCCGCCGCGGTGAGCGCGACGTCCGTGGCGCCCTCGCCCTCGAGGGTCCTCTCGGAGCGGCCCGGGCGCGCGTCCGCGGCCTCGTCCTCGTCCTCGCAGACGAAGACCTGGTTGAGGTCCGGAACGGCCGGGGCCCGCTTGATCTCGGAGGCGCGTATGCCGCCGAGCAGCGCGAGCCAGCGGCGGGAGACGCAGGAGGAGGCGCCCCGCGCGCGGGCGCCCTGCACGCGGCGCAGGATCTCGAAGAGGCACCCGTCCGGGAGCGCGTCGAGGGTCGGCGCCTCCCTCTGCCTCTGCCTCTTGGCCGCCGGCGCCGCCCTGAGCGCCTCCTCCTCCGCAGCCGCGGCGGCGAAGACGCAGGGGGGCACGGCCGTCACGCGCGCGCGCTTCCGCTGCCTCACGCCGCCGAACATCGCCGCAGCCGGGTCCAGAACAAGCAGACCGCCATCTACACAAACAATCACACACAAAATCAGCACACCAAACCAACAAAATCCCCCAGATCTCCGGCGAAACACCGCACAAAGACTCAATCTCAATCTCAATTCGGGGCCCTTGCTTACCGCGGCAATCGTGGAAGGGAGGCATGGCGAGGAGGAGATCGAGGAGCTGCTGCGACGAGAATCAATCAATCAATCAATCGGGCGGCGCTGCGAACG